ACAATCCAGTTTTCTGCTTCTCCTTATAAAAGAACATTTTTGTTAAACTCAACTTTCAGAACCGTGACTACCACTACATTTCCGGGACCAAGAACTGCAGCCTGGGTGGGGCGGGTGGGGCGGGTGGGGCGCGGCCGAGGGGGTTGTGGGGGAGGGCTAGGTGGTCTGGAACTATGGACGTCGCAAATGAAAGTTTCAAAAGCAGTGACTGGAAATTAAAAAAAAAAAAAAAAAAAAAATCAGACCTTTTCCACCCAGGCGCCCTAAATAAATAGCCCCGTTTGCAAATTCCTATCAATTATTACGTGATGGGAAAAAATCCTATCTGAAAATAAAGCACGTGGACGTGGAGAATTTTAATTAAATCTTACTGTGGATATAATAACATGGAAGTGATTTTTCATTCGGCGCTTGCCTGCTCACCAGTGTTTTATGGCGTTTTCTTGCCTCTGACTTTATTTTAAAATATTAGACGAGGTGGAGAATTATAAACGACTCTTTCCTTATCTGTGCTGCTCACATATCCAGGATCAGAGGAGCTGATTAAGAAAGAAGTCAGAGGCAACGTTGGATTCATAATGATTTGGAATAATGAATCCTTATCTCTGCTTTCCAGATTATCTGCCTTTCAGCTCCCAATGTTTTGTTACATGGGATAATTTATTGCATCTAATACATCACAATGAATCTGATGGTAGAAAGTGATGGCCCATGTTGTGAAAAGGGGGCCCTTATTTTTTATCCTGGGGCAATGAAACTGCTTTTTGCAGTTTTTAATTGGGAAAATATAAGGTAGATCTGATAAAAAAAAAAAAAAAAAAAGAGCTGGGTATAATCTTGCCTGCTCGTGCTTTACCACGCTGCTCTTTAATTAGTGTGTCAATTTCAGGCTGAAATTAACAAGATCGACCTGAAACCAGTGCTTAGTTTCTCCCCAGCGTGGAGATCCTAATTTTTAACATGATTTATTTTTATGAAAAAGGAGATAATTAATCATAAACACTGACTAAAGCACAGGGCCAAGTTAAGATAAAATGCCATTTGCATCTTTATATAGAAATATACCAATAATGTTAATTTTTCTGAGATTTTCTCTCTCCTCACCAGAGCTCGCCCCCCGCAACAACCCCACCCTAACTGCTGCCCACTCCAGCCCTATTCCAAGTAAACAAGAAAAAAAAAAAATCAATTCCTGGTTCCTCTCCATGTTTATCGCTCATTTTTATAAGAATATGCGTGTGTGTGTGTGTGTGTGTGTGTGTGTGTGTGTGTGTGTGTGAGAGAGAGAGAGAGAGAGAGAGATAGATAGATAGATAGATAGATAGATAGATAGATAGATAGATAGATCGATCGATCTACAGCTGTCCTGGCTTTGTCTATTAACACAAGCAGAATACATAGGTTTCCTCTAATTAGATCTCAAGGGTGAGAGGGTGCTCCTAGACCCCACCCCACATCTACCCTCAACAACTTCCCTCCATTTTAGAGTTAGAGGGAAGAGGGCACATATCTCATTTAAAGGTTAATTAGGACCAATAATAGGCATTTTAGTTTCTTTTGTCTTTTACCCTAACGCCAAAGGAACAAAAGCCACCTCAACGCAACAGGCTTTACTCGCTGCTTCTTGCAGGAAGGATTTCAGAATCCAAGGCTGTACGAGGAGTGTCCTCCCAACCACTGACAGCACCAGAATCTCTCGGCTTCAGGAAGTGGAAGGGGCAGGAGTCATTGGTAATTTGCTCTTTAAGCTTTTTGTGCCTGTTGATTACTTTCTGGTTGCTTGGATTAAACAATCGTTGCAAATATGCAAACCACTGAGAGGAGATTCATACATATTCGTTCTCCAATTGTTCCTCTTGACGTCAGATCATAATTTCCTGGTAATTGGACAGCTTGCACCGAATAATGCTCGTCTGAAATTCTCCCCGTTTCCCTAAGTTGCAGCAGATTTTGTACTGGGAGATGGGAGGATGACTTCTTTTTTTTTTTTTTTAAGAATTATTTTCTGTTCACGGTAGTTCCCATTGTCTCCCTTCTCCCCCATACTTAAGAATATTTATTCCTGAAGTGTGAGGATCTGGAGTTTATTTCCTGGGAGTGTAATTTCCCAGACAGTTCTTGAGTAGTTTGAAGAAGGTTGACATGGGCCAGTAAAGATGGAAGAAATGGGTCTGATTGGGGCAGAGGCAGGGGTGAGGTTCCATAGAGCAAAGCACCCTGTCCTCCCTCTGCTTGGATCCAAAAGAGCAGCCTGGAGTGGTCACACCCGTCAGCCACGCAGTTTTCCTCCCCTGGGGTAACCCAGGGTTCTCATTTAAGTAACTCGTGAGTTGAGTTCAAGTCTCAACTCCTGACCCTGTCCTACACTCTCAAGCTAAGTAGGCAGCCAAATAATTATCAATTTCTTAAAAAAAAAAAAAAAAAAAAAAAAAAAGCTTGAATCTTGATCATAAAGATATTTCAGGTTTTAGGTGGTGGTAGAGGGAGACCCAGAAAATATCCTAGATTTCCTGGACTTCAGACTTCAGATTCCAATTCTGTATTCAATAATGTGTGACTTCCCTCTTCTTCCTCTCTCTTCTTTTCTCCCTTTCCCCTCTCCCTTTTCCTCCCTTCCTCTCTTCCCTTTCTTTATGACACATCACTCCAAGAATTTCAAGTATCAATTATAAGTAATATTAATTTCTCAGCCCAACCAGTGAAGTGCGGATGATCTGATAGGAGCATAAAAACGGTGCTTCCCTAGATGAAACAGACCAGTGGAGCCTACTGGGCCGTTTCCCATGCCCAGATGAACATTCAATTTTCCGGCATTATCTCCGCACTTAAACTCGCTTTCTCCATTTCTGTGCCAAGATAAATTTGCATAATATTTGCAGCTGTAATTAGCTGATGAGCATCTCCCAGCCTCCCCCTTTTGTTTCCCCCTGCATTTGGTCTTCCATTGATGCTACGTTTGATCTTTAATATCACAGGATTCCCGATAGAGGATTGCATATCTTATCTTCTCTGCTCCAAAATCTTTTAAGAAGGAGAGAGAAACGGAGAGAGGGGGCTTGGGGGAAAAGCGTGAGTGAAGAGAACGAAGCTTCTACTAATCAGAGTTTGGAAAGATTACATTGGAAGAAGCTATGGGGAGTGACAGGACAAATAAGATAAATGGAAAAGGAGGGTGGAGTGGGGATGGGAGAGGCTGGACCAGCCTCTTGGAATGGGAGAGCCTGGGATAAACATGTTATTACTTAGAGACTACGGGATTGGGGTTAGGGGCGATTGGGAGTAGGGACTGGACAGTGGACGGATGAGGGTGTGGGAAGTGGGGTTTGTGGGCAGCCTCAACTGCGGGGCCTGCCTCCCTTTCTGGAGAAGCATAACTGCCACGCTCTGAGTGAGACGTCTCTGTCCTTTAAGCAGAAACTGGAACTTTTGAAACCAGGTGACTACCTTATCTGCTCATCTGTTTGTCTCTCGTTAATAGAGAGCCCTGCACTCTTGAATTCCTAATATGCTACGGACACTTTCATTCTCTCCAGCCCAGTTAAAAGCAATAACCACCCCCCACCCAAAAAAAAAAGTAGGAGAAGAGAAAAATAAAAATGATACAAGAAACTGAAGAAGAGGAGGCAGTGAGTCGGTGGCAGATGAATGGGGTCGCCTCCAGGAGCGGAGCAAAACCAGGAGAGGTTCCCCCACCGCCCCCTCCCCGCGGCCCCGGCTGCGGCCGGATTGTCATTGTTGTTTTCTTATTTTTATCCAGATCGGGAGTTTTTCGGACTTGGGTGGCGCCTGGTAGGAGGGGAAGGAGCATTGGAGGAGCCACTGGTTGGATTAGTATTTGTGGGAATGCGCAGGGGGAGAGGGAGAAAGGAAAGGAAAGAGGGAGAAGGAGGAAAAAAAGAAGACAAGAAAGAGTCGATTTTCATGCCAATCATTGGAACAAATAGCTAACATTTAACGTTTACACCCGCACTGGCGGCGCCCTGGCGCTCCGCGGACCCGGAGCCGGGCTAAAATGTCCCGAAAGCCTTTGGAGAAAACGAGTTTCCAGCTATCAGGTTCTCCCCGTCTCCCCCCTTTCAAGAGGCTTCGGTTTCAGGCTGGACTTGTCCAATGTCTGCGTTACCGCTGCGAGCTCCTAAATGAGTGTCAAGGAGGCAAATATCAAATAGCGCCGGGGTCAGGGCGATTGAGTTAACCATTGGGGCCTCAGGACTGGAAACCTGTGTGAGACTCCGCGGGGAAGGGGAGGCGGCGGAGGGAGGGTGAAGGAACAAATGAATGAATGAATGAATGAAGTGGCAGAGGGGAGCGCTGGACACCCAGAGAAGCGGGTGGCCTGAGCCACAAGCCAGCCCCCTTCTCCAGCCCTGGCCCCTCCCCGGGCAAACTTAAGGCTCTCAGTTTGAGAAAAGTTTCCTTAAAACTTTTGCTGTCTTTTAAATAGGGCCAATTTTCTAAACCGAAGTTTAGAAACCGAAGTTTAGAAAATTGGGCTCTAACCTCGTCCCTGTCCATGGGTGGTTAGTCATTTCGTCATCTCCAGGCCTCAGTTTCCCCATCTGCTAATGGAGGGAATTGACAAGAAAATGGCGAGGTCTCTTCCTGTTGGGAAAAAGAGCAGGCTGTGGGCTTTGGCAGCAAACGGGGAGTGCGGGTTCTGCTATCCCGACCCCTGTCAACCTGGGCACCTGGTGCCACCCCCAGCCTGGCCCTTGGGGCCGGCCAGAAACCCGGGCAGAGAGAGCCACTGAGCTTCCCCACCTCCAGCCGAACCCCAGTGCTCAGCAGCTGGGACCCAGTGGTTATCCCGGGGTCACCCCCCAGGGAGGCCCCCGTTCTCCTATTCCAGCAGACCCAGGTCTTTATGCGTCCCTTCCAGAATCTTGTGCTTCTCAGGTATTTCCAAAAGAGAATCATCTCTCTCTTTTTTTGGGGGGGGGCTGGAAAAGGGGTACACCCTCTCCAGGGGTAGGTGTTGGGGGGAAGCGGATTGAGGTTTATGTCAAAATTCCTGACTCAAGCGCCAGAGCGGAAGTAAGAGCGGACTCAGCCTCTGCGCGGAGGGGGTCACTGAGCCTCACCACAGGCGTGTTTGAAATCGATTAACCAAAACCCGCTTCTTCGCGCCGTAAGGTCTTTTTTTTCTTTATTGTTGAGACCCCCATGTCACGTGTGCAAGGTCTGCGTGCTTGGGCGTGTGTGTGTTTGGCGGGGGCGGTTGTGTTGCAACCTGGGGGAGGGGTGTGCACCAGGTTCGATGTATTTCCCCAGCGCTGAGCGGAACATCAAGACAACCAAGGCAGGGGACACCTACAGGGTTTGCTGCCAAGGACCGGCCGCTCACTGTCCTGCCTCATCCCCTCTCCCCGCACCTTCCGCGCCCCCGGGGCGCAGCTCCGGGTCCCTTTGGGGCCGAGCAACGGGCGCGTGCCCCGCAGTTGGATGCCGGGGAGGACTCGGGCTGCGGAACAGAGATCCCCCCCGAGGCAGGAGGTACCGCAGGGAGGGACCGAGAGGGGCGCAAGAGCGAGGCGAGGTGCCCAGATGTGCTGGGCTGGGGTGGGGGCACCTGTCTCCTTAAAAACCCCTCCTTTTTGTGATCCCTTCCCTCCCTCAGTGTAATTCTCAATGATAGTCATGAAGAATAATCACGATGATACTTTCCCCTTCTTTCTCAAATTAAAAAAAGAGAGAGAGGAAAAAAAAATACGCCCAACTCCACTACCATGCAGGTTCCGGAGAAATTCTCAAATAGAGCAGTGTAATTTCTCAGTTGATTTTGATTGACACACTGTCCCTGGGATCATGTGTTAATCCCTTCTTCACTCAAGCCTTTTCATAACTCATTTCTCTCTTGCTAGATGGGGACTCTGATGGTTACCGAGGCAACGATGATAGCACTAAGCTATTTCCCTCTCTGCAAGGAGACCATTATTCCGCATGCATAGGCCATTTGCAACAGAGGTCGTCACAAAGTCATCCACAACACAGCACACGTTTATTAAACTTTTATTCGCTTTTTTTCCCCAACACAGAAACTAGTTTGCACTTGTACGGGGGCGGGGGGGGGGCGGGCGGGAGGTATCGTTGTCCTGTTCTGTGTTGGTAAGGATCGCCCTGAGTGTCACGGTCATTGACACAGCGACACGGCAGGCGCAAAGGCCACCGGTCTCTCCACTGCCCGATCCGCCCGTCGGGGTCGTCTCTGACCACCTCGGGATGGCTGGGACCTTCAGGACGAGAAGAAGCGGTGGCCACGTCTGTAGGCAGAAGGGACCCTGGCTTCCAGGCCTCGCCACCTCTGTTGCGCGGGACTTGGTGACCCACGCCCCTTTCCTGGCGTACCTTCTGAAATAAAGCCTTTTGTCCCACTTCCTCAGAGCCCCCCCCCCACCAACCCTCCCGCAACGCCGCTTTTCCCGTTCCCTGCTTCGGATCTGCCGCCCCCCCCCCAACCCCCGCCGACGCCAAGCCCTCCTCGGGCGCCCGCGGACGCCAGGCCGGGTCCCCAGGCGCCACCAGGCCGCGCTGGCAGCCCTGGCTCCGCAGAAAGCCACCTGCCGGGAGCGCGAGGTTCTTAGGTTTCTTCCCCCAGTTTGTCCAGGAAACAGGGCCTGCTGGTGGGGGCGGGTTCCTGGGAAGTGGATGGATGTGGTCCTCGGCTTCTCTGCGGAGGGTTGGGGCGGGAGGGTGTGTGTGTGTGGTGGGGGGGGTCCCCGGAACATCTGGGGACAGTCAACCAAGAGCTTGCCAAGAGGCCAGTCTGAAAGCGAACATGGCAGACTCGATTCCCGGCCTGCAAGGCCACCAAAACCAAAGGGCAGTTATGAACATAGGCCACTGGTGACCAAGGCCCCTATTTCCCCTCCAGCTTTCCTCAGTCGCCCACACTCTCTTTTCAATTTCTTCCCTTCCACACCTTCCGCCGCCCCCGTCTTTGTTTTTTTATGGGAGCAGGGGGCCTCCTGGGGCTCTGGGGCCAAGCCCAGGCCTGTGAACTTGACCCGGGAGGGTCCCCTTCGTGCCAGCCCCCCGCCCCCAGGGACGGCCTTCGACGCCGCTGCAGCCCCGGAGCGCCCTGCTGTCTCGTCGTCTCGCAGCTAGGGGCACGACCTCTCCGGGCCACCCCGGTCGCTTGTCTGCGTGCCACCCGCGAGCCAGGACCAAGCCGCAGAGCTGGCTGAGGCTCCGCAGACACCGGCTGGGACTGGAGCTGGGCTGATCTAGACGTGTGGCGCGGTAGAGATGCGAACTGGGCTCCTAGGTGGCAGGTGGAAGGACTCCTGAGAGCTCCAGGGATCAGCCTCCTCCCCAAGCCCGGGACTGTCCGTCACCTGGGCTGTGGTGACCCTGCAGGCGGAGGGGATGCCACGTGCACAGGGCGATCCCATCCTGGTCCTACCCTAAGAGTTTGGGAACCCTGAGTTCCTCCATAGAAACGTAGTCGCCTGCCAGCTGGGAACTCAGAAGAGCTGGGGGTAGATCCCCAGGGCCTCCTTCGCGGCGCCCCACCCCAGAGGCAGTGGCCTAGAGCCGGCGAGTTGGGAGGAAAAGGGAGGAGGCGAGCCTTGTCCTGGGAGTCAGCAGGCTGCTCTCCTTCCCACATCTACAACCGTTCCCAAGAAAATAAACCAGAAAACAACGCATCGCCTTGGGGTGCCGGCTTCTAGAGCCTCCAGACCAGGGCGGAGAGAGCAGAGGGGTGGTGCTGGCTGCACTGGTTGGCGCAGGGACTAGTGGGGTGTGTTGGTGTCTGACCCAGCTTTTTTAAAAGAAGCCCCCAAGCCCTTGGAGTGCGGGTTGGGAGCTGGATGTGGGGCTAGGAGGAAACAGAAAGAGTGGGCTGCTGGGGTTCCGAGGGTCAAAGCAATGCCAAATTCCTCACTGCTTTTGACAAAGCCTAAGTCAGAGGGTCTGGCTACCTGGGCCTGGGTGAGGGTGGCCTTTGGAGAGAAGCCACAGATCTAGGAGGGTGTTGGGAGTGCCCCCACCGTGCTTTCCAGTGGAATTTAAGTTTACAGGTAAATGGAGGTAAAACTATAATTTTTTATTTTATTTTATTTTATTTTATTTTATTTTATTTTTTTGAAATGGAGTTTCACTCTTATCGCCCAGGCTGGAGTGCAATGGTACAATCTTGGTTCACCACAACCTCCACTTTCCTGGTTCAAGCAAATGTCCTGTCTCAGCCTCCTAAGTAGCTGGGATTACAGGCTCATGCCACCACACCCGGCTAATTTTTGTGTTTTTAGTAGAGACAGGGTTTCATCATATTGGTCAGGCTGGTCTCACACTCCTGACCTCAGGTGGTCCACCCACCTCTGCCTCTCAAAGTGCTGGGATTACAGGTGTGAGCCACCGCACCCAGGCCAAAATAGAAATATTAGGACTCTGGTCACCTGAAGTATTTCTTGTCAGCTTTAGATCTGATCAATCTGCATTTTGTGGGGTTTTTTGTTAGTGTGTCTTGTTTTGGTTTGTTTGAGACAGGGTCTTGCTCTGTTACTCAGGCTGGAATCCAGTGGCGCAATCATGGCTCACTGCAGCCTCAACCTCCTGGGCTCAAGCAATTCTCTCACCTCAGCTTCTTGAGTAGTTGGGACTTACAGGTATACGCCACCAAGACCCGGCTAATATTTTTTATTTTTAACATTTTTTTGTAGCGATGGGGTCTTGCTATGTTGCCCAGGCTCATGTTGAACTCCTGGCCTCAGCCTACGGAAGTGCTGGGATTACAGACAGGACCCACCACTCTTGGCCTGAGATGAATGGCTTCGATGCAGGTCTCTCCTCTGTTAATAGACTCATGACAGAAAACATGTCTGGCTTTCAGCTAAATGAGAAGATTTCAGCTCTGTCTCCTCCCATGTGCACCAAAGAAAGTAGCAAAGTGCTGGGATTACAGTGTGAGCCACTGTGCCAGGATCCTTCACCAAACTGAGTCATCATCTCAGGGGAAACCAAACTGATGGAAATCCTGTCTTACAAGAAAAGACCACCCAAATTACTGGAAGCTTAGGCTCTTGCACCAAAGGGCGTAATATTATATATATATATATATAGTTTGTTTGTTTGTTTGTGATGGAGTCTCACTCTGTCATCCAGGCTGGGTGCAGTGGCACAATCTCAGCTCACTGCAACCTCTGCCTCCTGGGTTCAAGCGATTCTCCTGCCTCAGCCTCACCACCACGCCTGGCTAATTTTTGTATTTTTAGTACAGACAGGGTTTTGCCATGCTAGCCAGGCTGGTCTCAAACTCTTGACCTCAGGCGATTCACCTGCCTTGGCTTCCCAAAGTGCTGGGATTACAGGCATGAGCTACCATGCTTGGCCAATCATATTATTATAGAATGACAGTAACTGCATTCATCATAAACGAAGTAGGTTACAAGCATCATCTCACCCAATACGAGAAACATCCTCTAAGACAGGTGGATCTCGCCCCCGACCCCTGCCCCTGCATTTTTTTTTTTTTTTTTTTACAAGTGACACAGTCTCTGTGTCCACAGCCCCAGCTCTCACCACCACGCCTTGGATTTCCTTCTTTCCTTCCAGCAGATCTCAGTGTACACCTAGGCGTATGAGTAGATTCAAGAGCGCTGATATCTATTCATTCATGATCCTCTCCTTCCTTCATGATGGTGTTCAATAGGCCCCTGCCAAGCTCTGAGACTACCAAGTAGGCAACTTTCTCTGTCCTCAAGATGCCCCCCAGGTAGAGTGGCGAGAAAGACAAATAGATCAATAACTATGTGAGAAGTCTGGCCCAATGATGTGTGAGCCCAGAGAGAGAGAGTGGCAGGAGGTGCCCTCAAATGTTCCACCAAAGGGGCAAGAGTGGTCTGGCCTACAGAGGAGGCCAAGGAGCTTACAGAGCACAGCAGGGACAAAGAGGGTTCCAGGAGGGAAAAGAAAGGGGCAGTGGCACAGGGCAGAAGAAGGGAGAGTGTGGCAGACCCTAAGAATGTGGTGTGCCCTGAGTAGAGGACAAGTGAGGGAGGCAGATCCGTGCCACGGTGATTTACTTCATAAGTCAAGCAAAGTGCCTTTATCCTGTGGGCTGTGGGGACCCAGGGATGGGCTTTATGCAGAAGAGCAGCATGCTCAGAATGAGTTAAGGAGGTAGAGATTCTAGGGCAGGTGCAGTGGCTCACACCTGTAATCCCAGTGCTTTGGGAGGCCAAGGAGGGAGGATTGCTTGAGCCCAGGAGTTTGAGAACAGCCTGGGAAACACACCAAGGTCCCATCTCTATGAAAAATTTAAAAATCAGCCAGGTACATGGCATGTGCCTGTAGTACTAGCTACTAGCTGCTAGGGAGGCTGAGGTGGGAGGATTCCTTGAGTCCAGAAGTCTGAGGCTGCAGTGAGCTGTGATTGTGCCATTGCACTCCAGCCTGGGCAACAGCGCGAGACCCTGTTTCTGAAAAAGAACTTATACATTCTCGATGCCATTCTGGGAACTAGCATCTGCCCTTCCCTCATCCACACACCCAGTGTTTGTCTTGGTGTTTCAAATTTTGTAAAACTATACGTGGTAACATTGTTTTTCGCAGAATGCTTCATGACACTGAGGCTGTGTTTCTCTGGGTTTTTTCGAGAAGACCGCGTGGTCCTATGGGGTTGTGTATGTGTGATGAGAAGAACAGTCCTGCTCATTGACTTTGTTTCAAAGTCACAGACTTGCCTGGACCAAACGTACCCTGACAGTTTCCCTATGGCAAGGGGGACAAAGCAAAGCCCAGAAGGTGGGCAGAGACGCCACCTGGGAAACCACACCACCAGGCACCTGTCCGTGATGGGAGAGAGAAAAGAGGGCAGCGCGCTCTCATGAATATATGGCAGGTATCTACAAACCCTCCAGCTAATTGATGAGCTCTCTATATATCATCCTAGATAAAGGGCCACTATGCAGTAAATGCTGATGTTTAGAACATCCTGATAGGGCTTTGTTAACAAGAAGATAACAGAAGAGCAAGATATGTTTGTTTAGCTGCCTATAGATAAACCCAATAGGTCTTTGTTAACTTTT